TTCCAGGTTGGTATTCATCCCGCTGTTGTAACATCACAGCCGATGGAGACACAAACACAGAGAGCTACTCTTATTGTGATTTGTGGTTTTGATTTCAGTGCAAGAACCTGGGCAGGCTGAGCACTCTGCAGCTGGGACAGGAGAACTCGGGCCTGCTGGCCAAGTGTCTCATTGACTGCGTGATGGTGTACAATGAGATTACAGGGCACACCTACAAGTAAGATTCGTCCTCTGATATTCTTCGGTCGTTGAAAGCTGCGTTTGACCTCGCACAGCATTTGATACTATGTTTATGAACATCAGCTCACAGGCTGATAATGTGTTAAAAATATAATAAAGGCTAGATGATCCAGCTGTTCAAAATCTGATGTCTGAACTCTCTAAACACTTTAACCCAAAGGTTGCTTAGAAAAGCTGATGTAGAAAGTATGTAGCTGTTTTATGCAGAGGAAAAAGACTCTGTGAATTTGAATTTTCAAACCACTTTGATAGCTGAAGTTACATTATCTATAATATGTTTTGTTTTCTTTTTCGTTTTGACCCTAATGCAGTGGTTCTTAACCTTGTTGGAGGTACCGAACCCCACCAGCTTCATATGCGCATTCACTGAACCCCTCTTTAGTGAAAAATAAAATGTGATTTTTTTTTTTACTGGTGCACAAAATGAGCCATGCATGTCATGGCGAAGGCTCTGCCGAACCCCTGAGACCGACTCACCGAACCCCTAGGGTTCGATCGAACCCAGGTTAAGAACCACTGCCCTAATGACTGCCTCAAGTTAAAACACAAAACCGTAGCAGATAATAGAAGGCTCTCCCTTCAGCCAAATCCTTCATTTTATTTTTTTATGTAGTCTTTATTCGTTTTTAAAATCTTGAATACAATGTAACGCTCAGCCTTTGTTTCTTGGAAGGTTCCCTTGCGGCCGATGGCTTGGTAAAGGCGTGGGGGACGGCAGCTTGGAAAGAGTCCTCATTGGTCAGCTGGTGTCACCTGGTGCGGAGGAGGATGCTGGAAGGTTGACAGGGACACCTCCTCCGGAGCTGGCCTCTCCTTCTCAGAGTGTGCGGACAGTCCTCGGATCACTTGGTAGCCGTAGCAGTACGTCCTGACAAAGAACACATTCTTTAGCACAATAGTTGACCTACTTGTTGAACGAGCAGATGATTCTGCTCCTGGATCACCTTTCTGTTCCCCTCTTAGTTTCATTATTCATCCTCGTGTTCCTGTTGCTAACTGCACTTCATTCATCTTCTCAGGGATGCCGTTTGTTGAAGTACAAGAGGACATGAGGGAGGCGGTAAATAACCTTGTGAAGCATTTCCACAAACCTGAACAAGAGGTGTGTGTATGCGTGTGTGAGACAAGTGCTATATTCGTTTTACTTGCCGGCTCACTAAGCTGAAAGGGTGACAAAATAGTTAATGCAGACAGGAGAATATTTGCAGCAACTGCCAGCCTCCCGCTGTGTTATTTTTATCTATAACATGGTTCATTACCCCAGCCTCTCCAGCGCGGGCCTCATTTGTTTCTCTTGTGTATCAGGCTAGCCTTTCTCATCTCCGTTAAGAGCACAGCAGAGACCTGATGCATCACTTGAGTTTGGCTATAAAAGGCTTCTAATTCATTTTAATAACGTCTTTAGTACACAAGCTTTAATGTACATGCATACGTTCTGTTTACTTTAACAAATATGAGACTGTTATAAACAGTAACATGAGCTTTTGTTTGAAGTAGGTCTATTAACTCTCTGCTCCCATTCCTATCACCCCAGAGGGGAAACCTGACAGTCTTGCTGTGTGGTGAAGGAGGTCTGGTGCTTTGCTTGGAGAAGTTCCTCCTCCATGGTCTCAAATCCAACCGACTTTTTCAGAGGAATGTGTTCGTTTGGGACTTTGTGGGTAAGTGTAAATCAAAGAGGTGACGTCTATTTCCTGTCTTCATCTAGTGGGGAGTTAATCTGCATCTCAAGTTGCAAACTAAACTAAAAAGGGTCACCAATGCTTTCCCACAGAAAAGGCCGTGGCTTCCATGGAGACTGCTGATCAGATGGGTGACCTGCACGGATCAACACTGACAAAGGGCCCGCCCTGCGACCTGCTGTGCCACTACGTCAGTGCCATCAACGCCTCTCCTAGAAATATTGGAAAAGAGGGCAAATTCCAGCTGTTTGTCTGTCTGGGAATTAGGTGAGCAGATTTTGAAACTCCCTTTGAAATCTGAATTGATGTTGTAAGAAAACATTTTGCAAGACACCCTCGTTCCTCAGGTGGAAGATGTTGTTAAAGCAATCACAGGCAGGAAGGTTATTTTCTTTTCTATTCTTTTATATAAAGCAGAATAATTTAAGCCGTCGTCGTCGTCGTCTTCTTCTGCTTTTGGCCAGATCATCTGTATCCATCTCACCCTGTCCCTAGCATCCTCCTCTGTCACACCAACCATCTGCATGTCCTCCTTCACTACATACATGAATCTTCTCTGTGGTCTTCCTCTTTTTTTTTCTTCCCTGGCATCTCCAAATTTATTGTCCTTTCTTCCACATATCCACTGTCCCTCCTGTGTCTAAATCATCTGGCCTCTTAACTTTGTCTTCAAACTGCTTAAACTGAGCTGTCCTTCAGATGCACTCATTTTTAATCTTGTCTGTCTGAGTCACTCCCATTGAAGATCTTAGTATCTTCAGCTCCACCTCCATTTGTTTCCCGTTTGTGCTACCACCTTCAAACCATACATCATAGCAGTTTGCAATGATAACAGTATAGTAGCTCAAGAATATTATTAAAGTTTAAGAATCATAGTTGACGCCCTGAATACAATTGACCTTGCAGTGCTTGAAAGCTTCAGCACGTTCTACAAACTTTATTTATGACCCCGTTATTGACCATCGGTGTTCTCGTCTTGGCAGGGACCGGCTTCTCTCTCTGTGGCTCCCCCTGCTGGCAGACTGTCCCCTCACAGCTCGGACATACGAGGACGGTGCTCTGCTGCGGGACCGTGCTGCTGTACACTCCCTCTCTCGCATGCTGCACACACTAAATGATTTCGCCATCACTCTGGAGACAGCACTGGTTAAAGGAGTTGACCTCTGACCTCTGAGTTTAGCAGCTACGCTGACAGATTCAGATATTCATCTTCCCAAGAGTGGGGAAGGGAGGTACATTCGGACATTTGGCGAAATGTGACTCTGTCATATCATCACGATCAGCAAAATGGACAGTGAGCTAGACAAAACCGCTGGCAACTCAAGCACCAAACATATTGCCTTGTTCACTGATGTACATGTCTTATATACTCTGATTGCTTCAGGAAATAGTCCTGTGCTTGTTTACACTGTGAAGTTCTGTTTCCTTGAGGAGAACTGGAGGGTCATTAATAAACTCACATCTACAGTCAATATTTTCCCTGCTCACATCATTTATACTGTACCTAACACTAGGATAACCATACCTGTCCTACTGCTGTGTTGTTTGCACTTGAATTTTAAACTAAGCACATGCATGGCCAGAATATGTTTGTTTTTTGTTTTTTATGTCTTTTGGTGTTGTATTCTCAAACGTCAGTTCTCAGGCCTTATTGTTATTACTATTATTACCATAATTATTTTTGATTTCATTTGATATTTTAGCAAATATAGTCAAAACAAATTATTCTACCCCTCTATAATGTTAAATTTATATATATATAGATATATTATGCTATTATTATACTGCGTAATGTCTGGCCTGTTTCTCATTGTTTATTTCAGTTTGGGGTCACATGTGACGCAGAGTTGTGCTCACGAAATCCTCAGTTGGTAAAACACTGGAACCAAACTGGTGTCCTAGTTGTGTCAGTTTAAATAGTCCTTGTCATTTTGTCAGAAAGCCCCCCCCCCCCCCCCTTCACTTCTCTCTGATTGTAAATATTTTGCTTCATCAGATCTTTGATAGAATTGTTTCATCCTTCCATCCCATGTTCCTATTTGTTGTTGGTGTACTGAATTTGTGACATATTTTTTTCCTCTACAAAGGCATCTTGTTTGTGTCTCCGTAACAACAGACACACTCTCTCGTGTGGACAGTAGTCATGCTGTTTTGTTTTTAAGCTCTTCAATTGTCTGCAAAAAAAGGGAGAGGGGGAGAGGGGGAGAGAGGGGAAAAAAAATCAGACAATGAATAGAGTACATGTTCTCAAAACCGCTAGGTATTATGTTGATGTTGCATCCAATTAAACAGTTGAGGAATTATGAAAAATGCTGTCTCCTGCACTATCCCGCAAGCACTATGTAACCTATGATGACCAAGCCTCTTTTCTCCTTTAAATACAGATTAGAGAAAGCAATAAATAATGAACTGTTATTTATGAAGTGTGTGGTCAAGATTAAAGTTAAAATTGAAATAAGTGCCATTTGTTGATGTTTTTTTGTGACGCTTATCTGAAATATCTGATGAGACTCTTGGATTAAAATGATTGCCAGCTATTAAAAGGTTGACTTTACTACTATTACACTGATGCTGATGAAGAATCTTGCTCTTATAAACTTGGTAAATGTAAAAACAAAAATACAACTGATTTTTTTTTGTTGTTTTTTTTGTTTTTTATACTCAAGGCGCTAATATATATTTTTTAAATTTCTGCATTGCTGTTAGCCTTAAACTGACCACTGGATGGAGACTTACGTTCACCCACCTTTTATTTACTACTAATCTGATCCGTTCAAATCAACAAAAAGCCCCATTGCCGTCCAAGACGCCAAGCCCCCTGAAAAACCGTAGGCCTCCAGACGAGCCATCTGGCGTCCTGTAGTAAAACAACAGGCGCCGCCCCCTTGCTTACATTCTCCAATGTGCCATAGCAACCGGGGCCGAGCCCCCTGTTCCCGCGCAATGTTCCCATCCTTATAAGGCCAGTAGAATGCAGACGCACGCATACGTCATACGTCGTTTATGTAAATAGTTTGATTGAAGAAAAAGAAAAAAAAAGCCCTCGTCTCTACTCTGAAATGGAGGTGTGGATACCACGCATGCGCACAATAGTCCACAACTCTAGTCCCGTCCACAAGCGCAGACATCAACAAGAGAGCGGGTTACCGATGAGGGTAGATGTTCATAAGTCACAGCGTAACGACGCGGTATTCGGACTGTTATTACTTTGGATCAGCTCCACACAACTCGCAGAAAGGTAACGATTGTCTGTGTTCGTCTGGCCTCGTCTTTAAAAAGCCTTTTAAAAGTGTTCGCCGCGCTTTTCAGGGCCGTAATTCAGAAACAAGCTTCGAGATGTCTCACGAACAATTGCTCTTTTTTTTATTTTTAAGGCCTGCTGCGCGGACCCGACTTGGTGGTCAGCGGTATTTGTAGGTCACCTTAGAAACAACGAAACTAACCGGGCAAAGTGGGAGGAAAGCGGGAAAAGCGCAAATGTGCGTTTAAAATGCGTTTGAAGGGGCTTTCACGTGCGGGCACGAAGAGGAGCAGGGGGGATGGCTGCTGGTGCTCGTGCTCCTGCTGTTATTATTATGGGTTGGCTCGGCGCATTTCGGCGACAATTTATCGGTAATGTAAACGTGGTAAAGTGGGTTAATGTGAGCGTCTGGGCTGCAAATGTGTTCTTGTACAGAAGGAGACAAGCGTGGATGCAGTGTGCCGCACATTTTCTGTCTGCTAGGCAAGCCAAGTTGAACCTCTCACGCCCACCCGGAGCGGAGATGCGTCTCAGCACGCGGCCACCGCTGTCAACAAAACCGCTCCCGCGAGCGCAAAGTAATCCCCAACCAAAGCAGGAAAGCCAAGCTGGATAAAAAATGTGGTTTGTGGGAGAAACCGGAGAGAAAAGCGACTTTCCGAGAGCCGCCGCTTTGAACTTGCCGCACATGTAGCCGATTGTGGATTGTTGCAGTGACGCGGCTCTGGAATAACAAAGAGTAAAGATCAAATTACACATTTATTTCAGAGCAGCTCCCCTTTAACACCAAGCCCGCCGATTTTATTTGTTATTTTTTGTGCTCTCGAAACACGTTAGTCCGAGTTTATCCCCTAGCATAAAGTTGAGGTATAAACTCGGCATCGTGGAAGCGGAGGATGGTCATCATAAAATGGGTGCGCATGAAGCAGGTCGTGTGGCATGCCATGCTTCCTCGCTGGCGGAGTGGGCGGTGAAAATTGGCGACTTGCACTTTTCTCTCGATGAAAAAGAGGACATTGCTCGGTGTCTTCTTTTATTCTGAAAGGCGAGGGTGTTATTCGTGCGAGTTCGGCAGCTTTTCGCGGTGATTTTTCTTTCTTTTTAGCGTTTGTTTTAAATGTTGCAGTTTTTGCGGAAAATCGCATCACACCCCCTTCGCCACATTGCCTCCGCCTTTGAAGTGTGTTGCCATGTTGAGTTGCGTCACGTACTGTATTTTGCTGCAGAGATCGTCTGTAATTTACAGATGAGGCACGCGAAGGGTAGAAACAAATTAGTTTCTACCCTTTATTATTTAGTTTTATTATTTAAATTGCTTGGTTACATTTTATTTTTTGAATGAATGCTGCTTTCTTAGCTTTCGAAGTGCAGGTTAGGTGCACGTCTTGTTTAAAAGGACTTTAGTATAGAAAAACAATGTTTGCACTTCACTACAAATAAAACTGCGCAACAGTAAAGTGCTATTGAATCTCTTCTGTTGTTATATAGGAACTATACCACGCGAAATCGTTTATAAATTAAGGTATAGCCCATTTTTCCCCCACAGTTAATATATTAGCTGTGTCACAGGTGAGAATAAGTGCCAGAGTTGGTATTCCTTTCTCAATGCAACTTACTTCATGTCGGCTTGTGTTGCTTTTTAAACTGACCTCTCCACAGAAATGCCCAATATCTAGTATCTGATTTAATCATGCAGAGTGAGAGTTCTTCGCCATTTTCCTGCTCTTTTTTACTCTCTATGGCACCGCACTGTCAGAAGACCCCGAGGACTGATGGCAAGAGGAAAAAAAAGCCCAGTCTGGGGGGCGCGGCTCACAGTTTTTGCCGCAGTTCAGGTCTACATGTGCCGTGGAGATTAAATTTTGCCTAGCAACATAAATCATAATTCCTGTGCACGCTTATTACATTTCGAGTAATTTCCCCCGGACGCAGTGATGTATAATATTTTACTGGCATTTCTCTAGTAACGCGGTACACATTTTGCAGTTTGTCTTTCCACCTCGTGACGAATAACGCATCTTGTGCGGCCCGGAGGCTCGCAATGATTGCGTGCGTAAATCTTATTTTGGGTTTCCAAAACGAAGCGTGAATCCTGTGAGCGCAGCATGGTGACATTATCTGTCTGACACGCTGTCTGACTGTTGACCTACTTCCCCCACTCTGTCTCTCCTTCCATGTGGGTCAAAGCGGAGAGATGCTCCAGCAAAACTGCTTTCCGTGAACGTTGTTGGCGATTAAACACATTTTTGTCCGCTCACTGCAGACTTAACTGAAATTTGTGCTTCACCTCTGACCTGCACTGCAAATGTAGGGGTGAAGGGAGTATTCTCCTCCACCCCCACCTCCTCCTGCTGCTGCAGCAGTAAACACTCGGTGCACACTGATCATATGTAAACATTTAACCCCCCTTTTTTCTCCCCTGAATGCAGATGTTTGGCTTTCACAAGCCTAAAATGTACAGGAGTTTGGACGGCTGCTGCATCTGCCGTGCAAAGTCGTCAAGCTCTCGTTTCACAGACAGCAAGCGCTATGAGAAAGACTTCAGGAGTTGCTTTGGGTAAGAGATACACCTGAGCATGTGCGGGGCTGCAGGCAAACCATACCTGTCATGGTTTTTAGGCTGTGCACGTCATATTGATGCTAAAGATTTTCCATTTTTTCCTCCTCATCACAAACTGAAATTGTCTTCCAGACTGAGCGAAAGCCGGTCTGGAGAAATCTGTAATGCCTGCGTGCTCCTTGTGAAACGGTGGAAAAAACTCCCTGTGGGAACCAAGAAGAACTGGAACCATGTGAGTTTCAGTGCTGACAGCATGACCGGCCTATCACTTTATGGTGATGATAAAACCCAAATTATACAAATTCGTCCGGTTTCCTGTCCCTCATCCAGGTTGTTGATGCCAGAGGAGGTCCCAGCTTAAAGTTAACTTCCAGGCCCAAGAAAATAAAGTCCATCTCCAAGAAAGCACGGCCAAGCCAGATCAACAGGCTTCAGAAAGAGCTGAAAAGACACAGTAAGTAATTATGATGTATATTTGAGGAAAATGGTAAAGTCATGACAAAATAATGGCTAAAAAAAGGTAGGTTTGGAAAGGTGTTTATTTCTGTGGGATCGGGACATTAAAAATACACCAGCACACATCTGTTTGTACCACAACGTTTCAGTTTTACTTTACCTTTCCTTTCCAGGCGCACTGGGTTAATGGATTGTAGTAGCACTCCTGTTACTTCATTCAGGTTTTTTCAGGTTTTAAAAAAAATATACATATATATATATTATTTGTCCTATTCTGTCCTCTAGACTCAGATGCCCACAGCACCACCTCCAGTGCCTCCCCTGCTCAGTCTCCCAGCTACAGCAACCTGTCAGACGAGGGGTCCGACACAGAGCTCAGCCCAGGATCCAGCCGCTCCCCCGTTTTCTCATTTCTGGACCTAACATACTGGAAGAGGTAAGGTGGACAGTGAAGCACTTCTTTAATCTACAGGCTTAATTTTTAGAATAATCTACTACAAGTGGTTTAACTGTATATAAACCTTCAAGCCTTCGCCTGCTTTACATATACAGGTGAAACTCCCACCGATGCCCCACCCTGCTGGATTACAGTGACATTAAAGGGATTTCTTTATGTATTTAACTTAATATTACTAACTGTTACTTGCTTATTATTGTATGTAAATAATTTTTGTTTGTTCGTTTTGGGTCATTAACTAATAGTTGCATTTATTTTTAGTGACAATTTTGCAGGTTTGTTATAAATGTATTTAGGATTTGAGTTTACTTTTACCTTCCAGACAATCTGTAATGTTTTATTGGCAAAGTTTGTAGAGATTTTGAAACTTGCTTGAGACCAGTAATCTATCAAAGCATGAAAATATATTTTACAAAAAAAACCCTAAAATGTTGCATTTTTAAAATAGATTTAATAACTGACTTTTGATCTTTGACTTGTTTTTCAATACATTTTTAAAAATTTCGTTTTTCTTAGAGCATTTTTTGTGGTGCCTGATGTTTTATATATTAAGCCTAATGCACATCTTTTTGTTTGTCAGACAGAGAAACAACAGGAAAATGCATTCATTTCTGTCAAATACTCAATACTACCTTTAACACATGAAGTGCCATGCTAATCCAGGATAACCCAGATTCAACACTGAATGCATTTTAATGCAATTAAATAACAGTAAACACACAGAGCCATAATGCTTTCTGTCTCATTTCATGCTCTGTGCAGGCAAAAGGTGTGCTGTGGAATAATCTACAAGGGGCGCTTTGGGGAGGTGCTCATCGACCCCCACCTGTTCAAACCGTGCTGCCGCAACAAACGACAACAACAACAGCAGCAGAAGCAACAGCAGCAGCAGGAGGAGGAGGAAGAGGACGAGGAGGACGAGGAAGAAGAGGTGGAGGCAGAGGAAGGTCGGGTGTGTGTGGAAAAATCCCAGATGGGAGAGGAAGTGAAGGAGATGGCAACTTGTGGTGAAAGTGCAGAGTCTGCTCAGCTGCATGTTGCATCGCCACCAGTCAGGAGTGAGGTGGTGGGGGAGGAAGGGTGGTAAAGTCACCCCCCCACACACACACACATCTCTGAAGAAATCTTGAGGTGCTGTTTTTTTTCTCTCAAGCACTTATAGAAAAAAGTGGCCTCAGATTGCCTTCAGTTACAAAGCAGCTGAAAAATCCTTTCTCCATAATGAGGATTGTTGATTGCATTTAAATGATAACTTATGGACTGTTGTGTTTCTCCGTTGTCTGTCTTTACTTTGTATTTAATATTTTTGCCATCCCGACGATGGACCATCATACTCGGTGTAATTGATCTACTTTGAAATGCTGGAGCTCCACTTTGCTGGTACATTTTTATCAGATTTTATTCCAAAACGCAATACATCCACTTATTTACAGAAAAAAAAGGTGCTACTTAAAGCTCACAAACACAGCTGAACCCATCTCAGTGAAGATGTTTTATAAGCATATATGTTAAGATGACTAATATAATGGGGTTAATTAATTTTGGTTTCTTTCTTCAGAGTTGATATCTGAGTTTGTTTGGGTTTTTTTTTTTTTAATGGTGGATATCTCCCGTTTTGGAATGAATGACACTGTACACTGATGGAGCACAGACCTGTACAGTAACCCTCTGTTTTTCTGTCTGCTCACGACAACATCCCCTCCTAACAAAGAGTTTGTGGTTTTTAGACTGGATTAGCGTTTCTGTGTGTAAATACGTATGGGTCCCATTTGAATAAGGCCTATTCACAGCTTCAACAGCAAATACACCAGCCTTAATTATGTGTTACAGACAGCGCTAGTGTTAAATCTGCATTGGTATTAAGGAACAAAAAGGGACAGTACAAATATTTATTGTGGCCTCAGCAACACACACAGTGCATTTTTGCATGAATGGCAAGCCCACTCATCCAAAAGACCGACTGATCTGATGTATGAGTCTTCTAAAAATTGCATGGCCTTATAAAAAATTGTAAATCTTACTTTTATTTTTTTGGATCCATTTTTCTGAAGTTTTAACTTATTTTTATATGTAAAAAAAAAATACAAATAAAGTGTCTTTGCATAATAATACCACACAATACAACAGCAAAACACAAAAATCGGTCTATCAGTCATTTTAGCAATATCAATATCAGTGATTTCCATCATTCCCAGTTCAGTATACGGTAAAAGACTTTATACAAGCTAAAATTCTATGCCATTGCCTCTTATATACCACAAATGTGTTGTGATATATTGCCTAATATTACTTTATTTATCAAATGAAAGCCAAAGCACATTGAAATTCACCCAATGTCAAATCAATGCAGGTTTTCTATGGACACTTGTGCTTGTCCGAGGTCATTTATATGTATGTTTTAAAAATAACACTAATATGAAATTTCATACATGTGATGTTGTAGTCAGGAGCAGCGGGTGTGTTATGTACATAAGGGGTTGGATGAGTCATATGACTCTTTATATAGGTTTCATTATTTATTTATTTCATATTTATTTGTATCCTTACTTAGAGAAGTGAATTCTTTTCATCTTTAGCTTACTCATAGTACGGTTTTATTCATCAGAAGTCGAATGTTATTCTCACGCAGGCTTTGGTTAACATTGCATTCAATTAATGGTTGTCAATATTTGTGAAATGTTGTTAAATATTTATTTGCTCATCGGTTGAGTTGCGTGCAACCTAACTTATTCTGTATCATCACTTTGGATTTTTATCATGTAGACTGAAACAGCTGATAGATTGCAACCAAACTGTACTTCTCCCTTTTTACCTTGTAGCTTAAAAATGTCACAGAATAGTAGGATACAATAGTAGGATACATAACTCTAGATTTGCATGTATTGTTGCTATGCATTTACTTAACTTACAAGTTAGACAAAATGGTTTTGTATTTTTTATACATCATGTACTTTTTTTTTTACTTTTCCCTTAATAAAAAGTAATTTTGTGAGCTTTCTGGGTGTATGGAGTGACTGAATTTATTGGTGTAAGACGGAAAGGGAGAGAAAGAGGGACGTTATCTTCTAAATATGGGAGTGCATGTCATAATTACATTATACATATACACCTGTCTAACTGAGGCAAATCTCTAATCAGCAAGCCAGATTGCAAATGTAGCACATTTCCCACCATGTTACGTACCAGTGTGAACATTTCAGCTCATCTGCTGGGATTTTCCCCGCACAAACATCTCTAGGGTTTACAGATAATGATCTTAAAAAGAGAATAGCCAGTGAGTGAAAATGTCAGACTGCCTTGAGCTGTAAGGAAGCAACAGTGACTCAAATAACCACTCATCGTTACTATTAAAGTATGCAGTAGAGCATCTCTGAGTGCATAACATGTTGACCACCAAAGCAGATGGGCCACAGCAGCAGAAGACCTCAACGTGTGCCACTCCTGTCAGCTAAGAACAGCCTATTTGCAGAGGCTCACCAAAACTTGACAGTAAAAAGTTTGAAAAAATGTTGCTCTAGTTTTGCTGCAGTGGTAATGGTGGAGAGTGGTAAGGTTAGAATTTGGCATAAACAGCATGAACCCATTCTGCCTTGTATGAAAGATTCAAGCTGCTGGTGTTGTGGTGACTATTTCCTTAACACACTTTGAGCCACTTAGCACCAATTGAGTGCTGTTTAAATACCACAGCCGTCACAGGTATTGCTGCCAAACCTGTCCATTGGTTTATGACCACAGTGTACACATCTAATGGCTGATTTCCACAGGATATGTCACAAAACCAAGTCACAAAATTCAAATGATCTTTGACTGGTTTCTTGAGTATGACAAAGAGTTCATTGTACTCAAATGACCTCCACATGCATCAGATCACGATCTAGTAAATCTTTGGGATGTGGTAGAACAGGAGATTCACATCATGGATCTGCAGCTGGCAAATCTGCAGAAATTGTGTGATGCCATAATGTCAATCTGAACCAAAATATCTCAGAACTGATTGAAGCACCTTGCTGAATCTATGCCACAAAGAAGCAGTTCTGAAGCAAAAGCAGTTCTATTACACTATTACACTATTTTTTTTAAGAGAGAGAAACATAGCAGTTCAAATGTACATGAGGCTAATTATGTTGCTGCTCTTCAAGTTCACTGTAAGGCTTAAACATTAAAGGTCATATACACTCGAAATATATTCCATGCATGCATTCGTTTTTCCTCGCATAGTTGTGCTGCAGCCTATCCTAACTGTCACCGGGCGAGAGGCGGGATATATCCCGGACAGGTCTCAAAATATGTCGTGTATTTCATTGTCACTGAAGCTTCCGTCCATGACTTGCAAACAATAATGCAATTAAGAACTTTCTCTTCTGCAGCGACCAAAACAAAACACTGTCAGAAAGTACCTTAAATAAAGAACAGCAGCTCAATAAAATAACATTATAATGACAAAAGAAGACATTTCACTAAAGTCAAGAATGATCTCAGTTAAACAGAAGAAATTGTCTGGAATCATATTAGCTCAGTAGGGAAAAAACAAATAAAATTGCGGAAGAATGGCACGTAAAAACGAAATAAAACACAATGACGTGGCTCAGTAGAATTAAACATATCGATTTAATTTTAATTCACTGAAAAATATATAAGTTAATATAAACAGCTTATTAACGAAAACTAATGAAAAAACAACAACGAAAATAAACAAACAAAACCTTAGACCGGAAGCGTTGGTCTCGTGACAGGAACTTGAAAAACATATGGAAGTGGGTTGTTTTTGTTTTACAGCCAGGTGTCAAATATAGTCTTAATCTGCTGCGTAGTCGTCCAAACTCTACAGATAGCCATCGTCCGAGCTCAGGTAAGTAATGTAAACTTTGTAGTTCCATTTATTATTATTACGGCTCGGTAGCTAGCGTACTAATCTTGCGGTGGTTGGTTTGGGGTGCTAACAGGGAGCTGGAGGGCAGTTAAACACCGGCACAGCATGCGGTGAATAAACAATTCACAGCTGGAATTGACTGTCTCTGATTTAATTAGCGTTTACAAATCTAGCTTATTTCTTTCTCGTTGATTAAATGCCTGTGTTTACATTTCTGGATATTTTGGCTCATGCAGTTATGAATAAATGTTTCCAATTGCAGTTTTTTCGGCTTGCTCGTCATCATGGTGGAGCACACGGCATCTGACGTGTTCTGCAATCGGATGCTGAGCATGGTCAACTCTGAGGATGTTAACGCCATCATCCAGGCTCAGAGACACATGTGAGTACCAGACTGGGCCCAGTGGTGCCATGAAATATAAACTATGTCTGCTGTTTGGGGTCGTTTCATTTGTGTCTGAGATTAAGATTTCTGTTTCTCTGGTTAACTGTTGTGAAAACAGGCTCGACCGTTTTGAGAAAACCAATGAAATGCTGATCAACTTTAATGGGCTGTCTAATGTACGCCTGCAGCAGATGAACGAGCGTTTCCTACTCCACACTCGCACTCTTGTGGAGATGAAGAAAGATCTGGACAGCATCTTTAGAAGGATCAGGTTAGTGTCTACTACTCCCACCATGCAAAAACAAAAAATACACCTTTAATCACAGGCTTTCTCTGCCTCTCCAGGACACTAAAAGGAAAGATAGCTAAGCAGTATCCAGAAGCTTTCAGCAGTGAGTTGTTTGATTTCTATTCATCACAACTTGATTTCTTTCTTCTTCTTTTTTTTCATATTTCACATTTGCATGTTTCAGATTATCAAGTAAATGGTAATATTACACAAATATAATCAGAATAAATACAAAATGCAGTTTTTAAATGATGATTTCATTTATTGGGGGGGAAAAGCCATCCGATCTCACCTGGCTCTCTGTGGATATTTAATTACCCCTTCCCCCTCCCCACCCCTTGAAACTTGAATTAACTGTGATTAAGTTCACTTTCATTAGCCTCACTAGTGGCCTGATTACTGCTGGAATTGTTGAATCAGTAAATTACTAAACCTGACAAAGTGAGGTAAGCTTAAAGATCTCAAAAACGGCAGCTCATGCCACAATATAAAGAAACAGCTGAGAAACACAGTTGA